AAAATGCTTCGCCTACTAATAATTTTAAACTCTTACGACATGAAAGTAGCTATTTACATCCTTCAAAGAGAAATGCTCATACATTTTCATGCGTGTGTAAAATGTAAGAGATAAGAATTACATAAGCATTTGATATTTACGTAAAGAGAAACATGTCTACTACTCTATTTTTGACAATACTGTTACTTCAGCAAATTTACCACATTCCTGTTTATAAAATTGAAATAATACACCTTCGAAGATATGACTTTTGAGAAATCGCATTTTACTCAAGAAAGTAAGGCAATTGTTTAAGCACCTATGTAAAAGGACCGCTTAAGTTACTTGGTTGCAGATAAGAGAAAAGTGAATGAACCAACCCTGTTTACACCATGGTGGACGTGTACCGATTGGACACTGACAAGCGTATTCTGTAGAAGAGACCGGTTTACAAAAGGAACTGCCTTCGCATGCGTGTTGGGTGCAAACATTCCTTGCACAGTCCACTAAAAATGAAAACAATACAAAACCTCCCATTAAAATACCCACGACTATTAACAAAAAAGGGAACAGCTCAGCACACCGACTCCAAATCCTCCTGTCGCATCTCCGACAAATGAGCTTTGTCGTGGGTCACAGAGGTGTCCATTAATGTTGACATCGCCCACACAGCCGATTAAACTATTTTCTGCTGCAGAAACTATTGGAAAGGGGTTACCAAGAGTCAGAGTCAAGTGGCCACCGATATAGATTTCATGTTCATTGCTAAATGACCCCATTGAATGATCAGTTTTACTTTCAGGTGGAATATCTTCCTACAGTAAACAAAAAATTGTGTTAAAGACAGTAGAAGAGCGTTGTGTTTGGCAAATTTCAAATGTATAAGGCATTGAGAGCTTTGTTTGAGTGCATTGGACTCCGTTTGGTCTGAATAATATATTTCCAGGTTGATGTACTTTATTTTACATTTAATGCATTGCAATAGTATTTACTGCTCAAGGTACGAAATTGAAATGTACTCTTCACTAATACTAATGTAACCATAATAAAGTCCCTTAAACAAAAGGTTTTTAAGTGCAAAGCATGTATTTTACTTAAATAAAATAAGAAAAAAGCTAGATGAAGCTTAGGCTGGATTTCTGCGTGTTTTATGCCAAACACCAAATAAAAAGACCTGGCGTAAAATAATAGTACTGATTAGTACAATTAGATGTTTTTTATCATCACTTTTTGAAAAGTATTTTTATGTACTAGTCCTGCGATAATTTTAATGGATTTTACAAAAAATTTATGATCTCGAGTTCGGAAAAATCATAGTAATAACTTGGTAAAGCAAGCACAAATTACAACACGAAAATATCATTTTTCTTCCGAGAATAGTTTTAAGTTTTCCATAATTTGGTTTAAGAAATTATAATTTTGTAGCAAAATATAATTGGGTCGATTTGGACGGCATACAATGTGACTATGAACTTCATGCTGATTGACAGAGAGGCGAAACTGGTCTGGTGTTATCAATCTAAAAGCAATGTCAAAAAAATCTGCATTGGCATTTTGCAGTTTGAGTGAGTGCTGAAGCAATCGAGAGAGGTAGAAATGACCCGCCTTAGATTTGTTGTAGACCCTAAAATCATCAAGAAGTTAGTTATGCAGCATTCCTTCTTCTCTTTTATGTCCCGGCCTCATGGACACTTTTAATGTATTTTAAGAAGATTTAAAATTTTGGATTAATTATTAACCTCTAAAGAAAAGATGGAATTTCTTGATATCGTCATTATAAAAAGCTGAATATATACACGCTGCCAATAAACTATAAGCAACTGAGAGTCTGCACCACAAACACCCCGAAGTAAATTACTATAAGTGCATTTCCTATTTAATGCCAATAACTTAGTTTTAACATTTTTTTACATATCAAATATTTTGATAAATATATCACCTAAGGTGGTACATGCTATCTACCGGGCGGATTTGATGATAAAAGTAGGGCATGTTTATTTACTATAGCATTTAAGAATCTTTCTTTACATGCAGTTCATTTTGCACCCTATCAAATATTGCCACAAAATTTTTTAGAAAAAGATGGACATTGTTAAAGAGATGAGACTACATCACAAAATGTGTTCATACTGCGATTACATTCAAGTTTAAGTGGATAAACACTCACCTCAATTGAATGAGTTGATTGTTCAACTCCAGGTAAAAGGCCTGCTTACGTGTGGAGGAATTGTGGAAAAAAATTAATGTGTGAGGCCGAAAAATGTAGGGTTTAATTTGCATTCGAACTGAAAATGGTCCTTCTTTAGGAAGAAGGTGGCCGTTAAAAACGAGGAACCCTCCATCTAAGAGTTCGGGAAACCGTGATTGCTGGACTTCTAAAAATTCAACTAATGAGATTAGAAAGCAGCTTGAATATTTGTAAAATTGAGCTGCTACCATATGTATATTGAATATGTGGAATTGAATAGCAGGAGCTGAAATAGTGCCGATATATTAGCAAAAAATAGCCTGAATTAATACGACACTGCTTAGTGTTGAAATGATAAGTTTAACAAAAGTAGCATAACAGCAGTAATGGTAGACTAGTTGAAATTGGAAACCAACGGAGTTTGAATGGCTGAGTTGCAAAATTATACGAAATATAATAAGGCCGTTTAAGCGATTAAGCATACGGTTGAGCCAAAAAACACAAATACGGATAAGGTATGCTCAGCTTTGCTGTTTATGATTTTCCCCTTATTTTGAACTTAGTCAAGCACCATCAAGTGGCAGTTAAAAGTAACTGACAGGCGCTATCTTAGATGTCGGCTTTACGAATAGAATAAACTCGGATTCCAAAGCTAAAGGGGAAATGGCTTCCTGTCAACTGTGCTGATGTGTCACACGGAGAAGGTGCAGTGTGGGGTAGCAAAAAGTATTGCAAAGAGTCAGTAGTCATGTAAGTACTTGAAAGTGTCATCTCAATGCTCACTTTTAGTACACAGAGGCCCAAAGTAACCCAACGGGCAAACGCAAGCTCCTCTGATAATGGTTCCATCAGATTGAACTGCTGCATTTCTGCATATTCCACCGTTTTGACAGGCGTCTCCAGACAAACAATTCTTCTCACTAGTAATATGTGGAATTAATTCTGCTTTTTTCCGTCCGTTGAGACTTTCGATTGCAATTTCCATGGTAAGTGCCACATCATCATCATCTGTACCTAAAATTACCAAAGTGGTTTTCGAAATAATTTCTTACCAAAAACGTGTTGTAAAACCAAAATCAAGACAAGAAGTTTGCAGTAACCAGTCATGACATTTGGGTGAGTGACTTAAACTTTTGAGAACTGTTTCCGGTCCAATGCAAGAAACAGTTTGAGCCAATCCTATTCAGTTTGCAAACCAAGCGGTTAATTTAAAAAGAAGTTCCTTTTATCATGACCAGAAAACTTCTTGTAAAAAGCGTTGCTGATTTAGTAGTTGATAAAATAAACAGACCAAAAAAGATAAAATTTTACTAATACGGTGAATTTGGTCAGAGTTACAAAGTAGAACCTTGCGGGAAGTTATTAGACAGTCAAAAGATTAGATGAATTTTGCTGTAGTAAACCTCAAATAGATGCAGGGATCACAATGAGATGCATATTACTATTGTTGCTGAAGATAATCGGTATTACACTCACAATATGTCAGAGAAAAGGCACGACCCAGTTGTGGTCTACACGGTTATAAAAGGTTCTGGCTCGAAAAGCCACGTAAACACTTGGCCTTAGAAGCCTCCATTTCTACCTCATCCTTTTTTTCCACCTGACCATTCTATTTCTAATGTGGTCGACCATGTGAATGTCGAATGTTATTGCTAAGATAGGATATTGACCATCACTTCAATAAATGTCGATTAGAAAACCACGGAGAATGTGAATGAGTATAAAATAATGCCTCCATCCCGTCTCCCCTTCTTACAGAGGGGTGTGATGTCTTTTCACAAGTAAGTATAATACTTTGTGACAT